TAAATCTTTTCTCAGTGTATGAGTTTCCTATTGCTGCTATAATAAAGTAGTACAATTTTACTGGCTAAAAATAACACCAATTCGGGACTGGATACCTTAACCACAGAGTCCCACATAACCAACAGTGTGGTTCAAGTCTTAGACTTGGTAGCTTGAACAAACATGCTGGGTGTGTGTGCAAGCATGCCGCAGGCCCTGAGAAAAGAATGGAGGAGAAGGGACTGCATGTGGCCATCCCCTCTGGGGGGTGCTCTCTCACCTCCCCCTTCTCTCTCTGTCTCTCTGGCAAGCACACACACCCAAAATTACAAAGCAAAACAAAACAAAACAAAAAAACACCACCAATTAGTTATCTTACCATACTAGAAGTCAGCAGTCCTAAATCAAGGTGCTGGCAGGGCCACATTCCTTCCAGAGAGGTTAGGGAAATGCCCATTTCCTTGACATTCTGAGCTTCTAGGAGCTGCCTGAATTCCTTGGTCTGTGGCCCCATCATTCGTCTTCATGCCCAGCAGTGTAGTGTCTCCGAGCCTCTCTTTTGGACTTCTGTCTCCATTCTTTCACCTCTGACAGGGACTCTCCCACCTCCATCTATGGAGCCTAGTGATCACACTCACAGCTCACCCACACAACCCAGGAAAAGCCCCATCCGAAGTCCTTCCCATAGCCATCAGCAAATCCCTTTTTGCCCTATAGAGTAAAATATTCCTGGGTCCCCAGGATTTGGGGTAGACTTTTGGGGCACTATTGTTCTACCCAGCACTTCCAGCACCTGTCTTAGGCCCACAGCTGTGAGCATCACTTCGTTCTAAGCCAGGGTAAATCAGGTGTTTTCATGCTCCTGAAAACTAGGTAGAAAAGATGGTTAAACCTTATCTCTAATTCGAGGGTAGCTGTGATCAAGGCCAAGGTCGATATGGGAGTTGCGGGGAGCAAGTGGATGGAAGAGGAACCTCAAGTCCATAGAGCCAGGCTCAAACCCAGCAGAGCGTGTGTAACAGCAGAGCGGCAGCCCCCAAAGCAAGCAGGCCGGCATCAGTCCTGCTCTTCCATCGTCGATGATGTGGTCCTGGGTTTAGCGTCTCTGATCCTTAGACATGTCATTGTCACCAGCTGTTGAGGGAGCTAAAATGACTTGGAGCTAAAATACTTTGTCACTAAAACACAATGTTACACATAAAGAATAGGGCCTTAGGGACATGAGAGAGGGTATCAAAAAGACCCAAACCTTCTCCCTCTGCCCCTACCCCTTCCTCACTCCCTGCAAGACTCCTCAAAGATTCATTCCAAAAGAAAGAGGTGGGTTGAAAAGCAGGTACAGAGGTCCCTTGCTTCCTTTGGTTTTGTTTTGTTTTGTTTTAGCCAAGAAGCAATCAATCACATCTCAATAGAGAGATGGAAACTTCTAGAATGAAACTTAACTTTTGTTATACACTAAGTATATAACAAACCTGGTGCTGGATGCTTTTCTTCATAATTTAACTTTTTTATACGAACCCCGTAAAACAAAGTATTGTTACCTTTCTTTTTGGAAAATGGAGATTCAGAAACATGAAGTCACTTGCCTAAAGCCACACTGCCCTAAGAGGCAGCACTGGGTTGGAATTCCCATCCATGCTCTTCCAGAATCACTGTTCCCTCCACCCACCCTCCACCACAGTGTGGGAAGACTGCCGTCAACCCGCAAGAGCAGAGCTGTCTGGCAAACAAGGTCAGCACGACGCACTCTGTGGAAGGTTCGCAGCAAGACACACTGCAGGTTTCCGGTGCTTCTGCATTTTACCATGACCTCAAACTGTCCGATCACATACACTTCAGCATGAGCAGAGGGAAGGGGGAAGGCAGTCACCTTCCACTCTGGAAAGGGTTGCAAGGAGGGAAAATGGCTACAAGGGGGAACAGAATGAGACGGGCAGTCGGCGTGCTGCCCAGGCCTCCCGCGGGGGACAAGGCAGCCAGCCGGACTCCCCTGCAAGCCCCAGGCTAGGGGAGAGTGTCGGAGGGCTGATTTCTGCATTTCGATGCATAAATGAATTTGAGATTAAGCTGGCTCTCGGTGCCGCTTTTTATAACTGTGTCTCAACCAACACAGAATTCATGCACGATGACTCTTCACTAACATTTAAGACTGCCAAGGGACGCCTACAGCAGTGTCGCTCCAGGGAGAATGGAACCAGGGAAGAAGCAATGTGAGGGTGAGGGGTGAGAGGAACCAGGAAGGAGGTGCTCAGTGTGATGTGGGAGGCGGGAGTGCAGCTTCCACAGGAAGGTAGGCATTGAGCAGGATCTGAGGCAGGAAATCTCGGGAACATGAGCTGGTTAGGGCCAGGGGCTCAGAGCAAAGGCTGCGATTAACACAATGTTGGAGCCCCCCAACCCCCGCCTTTATGTGGTGGCAGCAGGCAGCCGGGGGCTGTAAGGGCCCATAGAGAACCTTGGCCTTGGCCTTGGCCACTGAAAGTCAATGAATTTAGGTGAAGATTAAAGCTTTTAAACTGGAATTCAGCCCTAAAGAAATACCGGGGATCACAGTTACCTTCAAGGGTATTAGACGAATGCAGTGAACAGTTATTTTGGAATAACGTTAGCTTTCATCAGAGCGCTAAGAGCTACAGGAATTCATGAGCTCGTCGGGAGCTAGCCGTGTGCACTGTGGATGTGGCGGCAGACGTTCAAGCTCATGGTAGAGCCTAACGTCCTCGCTCCCCAACTCACTTGAAAGAGAGAGGCAGGACAGGACGGTCTCTGCTTTACATGAACAATACAGGTCATCTCTGCCAGCTGATGCCTGTGAGCTCAAAGCAGTTTGTGTGGTGGTTTTCACTGGTATCTCCAAGTGTTCCTCTAACTATGAAGAATTGCTTCCTTCACTAAAATGTTAACTTTCTGTGGCTATAAGCAGGTCCTAAATCTCCCCCCCCCCAATGTATAATAATTTTTTAAAAGAATTGTTTTATTTAACTTTTATTTATTTATTTTAATTTGACCAGTGAGGGACAGAGTGAAAGCAAGAGAGAGAGACAGAGCGAGAAAGTGAGAAAGCAAGCCGCCAGTTTCGGGACTCGAACCTAGTTGTCCAGTGCCCTAAAACATCATGCCGCCTGCCAGCCCCAATGCATAATAATTTTTGCTAAACAAATGTCTGATAACTTGTAGAAACAAGTGTTTATCTAGAAATGGCCAACCGTGAGAACCTGCCCAGACAAAGTTAAGCGCGATGGGTTTCAGCAAAGAGCTTTAACGTTTCTGCTGAACAATGATCACACTGTTTTATTTAAGTGTTTCCAAAAGGCCCGCCAAGGTTTCCCCATCAAAATTCAAATATTAGGACTGTGGAGTTTTCTATCATTCAGTAAACTTCCAGCCTCAAATTTTAAGACAATGGCTGGGATGAGAAGAAAACAGAAATCATTTGTGTGCACCTATCGATCCGAATCCTCAAAATAAATAATGAATAGTGACAACCATTACCGTTTTCTGACTCTTCACAGGACTGGCGAGATGGGCCCAGTGAGGACAAGGAATCCCAGCAGGGTGGTGTGAGGTCATGCATCTGGTTTAGGACAGCCAGGTAGTCACACTCCTACTCAGCAACTGTCTGGTGCCCAAATGCCAGCTAGGATTAGGTCTGACCTTGCACAGCAGAAACCCCGGCAGTGCCCTCAGCAACATGGAAGCCCGCTGTCTCACATGGAGTAAGTCAGAAGGGCTGGTATGGCAGCTCCAGGACCACACATCCTGGTTTGCTCCATACAATCTCGATTTATCCCTTTGGGGACCAGCAGGTGGTTTAGTGATTAAGAGTGCTGGACTCCCACATGGTTAACTGTGGTTCAAGTCCTGGACCTGGTGGCTTGCTTTCTCACTTTCCCTCTCTCTTATTCTGTCCCTCTCTGGTCAAATTTAAATAAACAAAATAAAGCTAAATAGAATAATTCTTTTTTTAAAAGGATAGTCTTGATTTATCCCTTTTGTCACAACAAAATTACAAACTTTCAAAAGTATCCAAGTTTGAACAATAAATTATAGAATCACTCTACTCAGTGGGACCCAGGCTAATGCCTTCTAACTTCCTGCTTCAGCATTTGAGCAAGTAGCTTCTACTCCAAGGCAGGGGCTCTATGCAGTTACTCGGGTTGTACAGTACATGATTCCTGGGAGCTTCATTCACCTTGTCCCTAACATAGATTAGGGAACATGTCCAGTGGATGACGGTAAAGTATCTATAGAGTGGGGACCTTTTCTGATTCTCACAGTTACCATGGGATTAATGGCAATGCAGTCCTGAAGTCACTTAGTGATCCCAAAGAAGGGCTGCTGAAGTGCTCACCATCACACCCACCATCTTTTTGGAGAGGTTATTTATTTATTTATTTATTTATTTTTTGCTATAGGGTGCATGCCCTCGCCAGAAAGACAGAGAGAGACAGAGAGACAGAAAGTGAGAAATCACCCCCCAGAAATCACCTCCTATGGAGGATAGCCACGCTGCAATCCCTTCTCCTCCATTCTCCTCTCGGGATCTTGGGCACGCATGCACACGCACCTGGCATGAGTTTAAGTCACTAGGTCTGGGACTCGAACCGCGATCGACTATGTGGGAGTCCAGCAACATAGCCATTACGCTAACTGCTGGTCCCACACCCACCATCTTGACAGCAGAAAAGAGGAAGGGCAAAAAAAAGGGAGCATACCTCCTTGATTAAAAACATACTTAAAAAGCTCCTTGCTAGAAGCCCCATCAAGCCTTCTGTTTAGCTGTAAGGAAGACTGGGAAACACAGCCTTCAGCTGGGCACATGTCATTTCCAGTAACGCAGGCGTTCTGTGAGTGAAGAAAGGGGAAATGTGGGGTAAAGAGGAAAACAAGTGACCACACCCACCCCGGAGTGCCACCTCGTGACTCTGGATTTAGGAGCAAAACTTATACCTGAATTTAATTTGGAATGTGGATTAAAATTCTCCCTGACCTTCCTCCCTTCTTTCTCTCCTGAATTACAGATTTGGTTCTACACCAACAGCATCTTTGGAAAAGCTGGGATCCCCCCGGAAAAGATCCCGTACATCACCCTGAGTACAGGAGGCATCGAGACTCTGGCTGCCGTCTTCTCTGTAAGTCACTCCCGAGAACACCGCAGGGCGTGAGCACTGCATGGGCCGCGGGGACGTGTCCTTGGGGGAGCACACCCTCTCACTCTCACCGTGTCTGGGGTTTAGAGGTTCGCCACGTAGCTCTTTCCTGCGTTTTGTCCACCTGGAGAACATTCCTTTCTGTATTTCACTTGCCTGTTGTCCTCCTTTTAATAAAGAGCTCCCTCCTTCGCACTCTCACCTCGTCACAAATGGGACAATATGAACACCCTGTCAAAGAGGGCCATATCGTCCCTGGAGTCTGGATCAGCATCCACGTGGACTTCCATCTCTTGCTGTGACCTTTAGAATGTTTCAAAACTCTTACTGGTTGTTCTAGTCCACTCTGTTGCTAATAACTCAATACAATAGACTGGATAATTGATTTTAAAAATAGAGGTTTGTTTCACTCACTGTTTTGGAGACCCAAGATCAAGGGCTGCATCTGCCGAGGGTCTTGTGGTGGGAACTCCACAGAGAACCAAGGCAGCACAAGCTGAGAGAACAGGGGCTTGTCTGTGTCTGAGCGTCAGCTCTGATCTCCCTCCCTCTCCTTTTCACTATTTCTACTTAGCAGCGAGCACACACATTCACCAGAGATGTAGAAGGCTTGGGGAGGGGGAGGGAACACCTCCCAGCAAGGCACAATGAAGCCACAGTCCTTCTCCATTTCTGCATCTTGTTGGGATTTGGGGCATGCATGCACACATGACTGGCATATTTTTCAAGCCACCAGGGCCAGAAATTGAACCATAGTCAACCATGTGGGATCTGAGCCCTTTAACCACCACAGTGCTGGCCCTCTTCCTGTTCTTATAAAGTCACCAGGATGCATACCTAAGGATTCCACTCGGGTGACTTTATTTTAATCCTAATCACCTTCCCTAAGCTCCCCTCCCCCATCATGTCAATAATGTCAACCCTTACAGAAACAGGACAATTTTTAGTAAAAGCAGGGGTTTATTTGGCACAGTAATGGTTTATTACCTGTTGATGACGAGATGCATAGTATTCTTAACTAGACTGTCTAAGGTGTGTTTCATGTTGGGTAAATTCTTTTTGCAAGCTAAATGATGTATAACAATGGAATGTATAAAAAAATAAGAATAATAAGATTAAAATTTAAAAAAATAGTTTATTTGGACTTATAAGAATTACATCCCAGGAGGCTTATAACTCAGAAGACAGATTTAAACAGTCTAGAATATGCACTCTAAGGTACAAGCTTTAGACAGATTTTAAAGTCAAAACTACAAGCAAGGAAGGGTTTACATCAGTTGTTTTTGGAACAATAATGACGTGAATTGATACCAATAACAAGATTATTTGTTATTGTTGTTATTTGTTGGCATCATTATTGCTATTGTTTGGACAGATGGTTTCTGTGCAGTTGTTCTTGCAGAAGTACTTTTTGGTTAAAGTTTCAGTGGTCTCTGTGCAAGGCTAAGATTCTGGCAATGTCTTCTGACAGCTGGCATTGAACCTACTTGCATGAGAACTGACCCTCTATGGCCTTCCTGGGCTCCATTTAGTCAGAGTTTAAGACAAGTTGACGCAAATGACTCATTTTGATTTGGACAACTTTCACAGTACCATAGTTGAACTAAGTTTCCACCTTCTTTTTTTTAAGAGAGATATTTTGCTATAGGGAGCATGTGCTCACCAGAGAGACAGAGACAGAGAGACATAAAGTGAGAAATCGCCCTCCAGGGGGGATGGCCATGCTGTAATCCCTTCTCCTCCATTCTCCTCTTGGGATTTTGGGCACGCATGCACATGTACCCAGTGTGAGTTTTAAGTCTCCAAGTCCAGGACTTGAATCATGGTCGACCATGTGGGAGTCCAGTGATGTAACCATTATGCCATCTGTTAGTCCCAGTTTCCACCCTCTTACTACTGCTACAATGGTAGTAAGGTCGCAACACATGAACTTCTGGGAGCTGTGTTTAAACCACAATAACTGCCATTTCATCACCCAAACATGTAGATCACAAGACAGAGGGAGAGACATTCTAGTCCATCAGTATAACAGAGAGAGTGACCTGCACAATAAGCACAAATGTTCAAAAGAGACAAGAGCCAGCAGGTGGCAAGGTAGTTGAGGCATTGGGCTCCCCTGTGTCCCATCATGGTTTGAGTCTCACACCTGGTGGCTTGAGACTTATGCCAGGCACATGTGGGTACATGCCCAGAATCCACAGAGGAGAATGAAGGAGAAGGGATTGCAGCATGCCATTCCCCCCCACCCCGCCCCCCCACCTTTCTGTCTCTCTGGCAAGTGCATGTGCTCTCTAGCAAAAATCTCTTTAAAAAAAGAAAAGAAAAAAATAGAAAGAAAGAAGAAAGAAAAAAAAGAAAGGTGAGAGAAAAGAGACAGAGTTCATCACTCTCTCGACCTCCAATATGCAGAATGAACACTAGAGGGAAAAGTTGGGAGGCTTCAACATCTAGCAGAAACTTCAGGTTTTGAATGAAACTAAACTGGTTTTAAATCCTGGCTCTGAACTTGTTGGTCATGTAGTGTTGACCAATGCACGCAACCTCTCTGAGCTTCAGTTCCCTTGTTATAAGACTTTCATGTCTCTCCTGCCATGTAAGTGTGGGGTCTGTGCCTCCTCTGGTAGGTGCAAAAGACACACAGGGCTTCTCTTCCAAACAAAGAGAGGGATGGCTAAAGTCGGAGAGGAACACTCTGACCTGGAAGTGTGGCTCATTTATCTTCACTCATGCTCACAAAGTTGACCTGATAAGATTAATGAGTGGGTCCTTCTAACAAGACACTTTTCAAAATCTGGATATCATGGGACCAGCAGTTGGCATCATATGGCTAGGTCTCTGAACTCCCATGTGGTCAACCACAGTTTGAGTCCCGGTCCCAGTGGCTTGAACTCACACCGGGCGCATGTGCATGTGTGCCCAAGATCCTGAGAGGAGAATGGAGGTGAGGGGATTGCAGCATAGCCATCCCCCTGGGGGGTGATTTCTCACTTTCTTTCTGTCTCTGTCTTTCTGGAGAGAGCACGCGCCCTAGCAAAAAAAACTAAAAAAAAACAAAACAAACAAACAAAAAACCTGGAAGTCATAAAAAATGAAGAGGAGTGATGTTCAGTCTTTCATTCTACTTCAATCTTTGTGTTAGAGGGAAAATATTTCAATGTTTCGGTCTGGCTGGTCTGCAGAATTCTTGCCTCAGTTATCGATGGCACCCAATTGTATTATTAATTTTCACTTGGATCAGAAAAAACACAACCAGTCTGGGATGAAAATGATGGGAAAGTACTGGACTTGGTTTTGTTTTTATGAAGTATTTCTTGTTGTTACAAGAAATCAATGCCAACTCATTAGGGCAAATTTGTAAAATTCAGAAAAATAGAAAGGAATTGAGAAAAAAATCACCTGCAATCAGACTAGCCAAGGAAATTTGACAAATCATTCCTTTGTCTTTGCAAGGGGACTTTAAAAGTCCACATAAAAATAAAAATAAAAGGGGGCCAGCAGGTGGTGTGGTGGTTGAGGTGCTGGACTCCCACATGACCCACTGCAGTTCAAGTCCTGGACCTGGTGGCTTGTTCTCACTTTTTCTCTCTCTCTCTAGTGAGTCCACATGCCTTATAGTAAATTAGAAAATAATAATAAATGAAATAAAATAAGTAGTTATTTTAAAAATGCAATTAAAGTACCAAGTTATCTGGTGCAAAAAAATAAATCTATAAATATTTTTTTCATAATATGCATTTTCATGAACTTACTGAAGACTCCTTTCTATTCTATGCACATAGTGTTTGTATAAATATTATTTTTCAATGCAAAAACGTGTTGTACCTTTTCTGACATATATATATATGTCACACATACACACACACACATATACAATTTCATCCAGCCCTTTGAAGTAATTGCCTTTCAAAAAGGACTTCCTAGTTTTTTTCCTTCCTTTATGGAGATTTTGACAGTCTATGAAAATGGCTCCAGGTCCTAATAAAATTGAGATGGGGAAGACAATTTTGTTCATTTGTTCTGCAATTAATTTTGGCTCAAGGCATTGCTCGTCAGCTTGGGCAGCCATAGATCATTGCCGTGTTGCAGAAACAGCTGGCTTTCCAAATGGATGTTTTCGGTGCGGCATTAAGTTCCCCATGAGCGAACTTCTGGTGCAGATTATCTGGGCCACACAAGGCTGAGCACGCCCTGCCGTGAGGAGAGGGGCTCTGCAGAGCCAGCCGGGGCGCAGGCTGCTACAAACTCAGTCTGCGCCTTCTCAAATCATTCCTGCTTGCAGTTAGTTTTTGTAATCTGCAAGTGTGGACTATGAGATAGGGTTGAAGCAACAAAAGTAATCCATACCTGTTCCCTCTGCTTACAGTGCCCCCCCCCACACACACACACACTGGCCTCCCAATGCATTCCAGGATTTCAGAATCAAAGCCTTTGCAGTTCAGTGATGAGTCTAGGGACATCAGAGCTAGTACCACTAGGGAAGAAAGAGGATGTCGGCGGAGTGCCTGGACTCTGTGACCTTCTGACCCTGTACTTCCTGGCTGGGTGAGCTCGGGTCAGTTACTGACTCCAATACTTTTCTTTACTTTTTTCCAAATTTTAAATGTATTTTATATTCATTCACTGGGAAAAAGGTCCATTTCAACAGGTATTACTGTGAAATTTACATAGTAATTCACAGTGGTTGGCATATAAATGTTATATGCCAATAACATATAAATGTTCATAAATTGTGCTCCTTCCCCCCTCCAAGTTCATATGCTGAATTCTTCGGTACCTCAGAATGTGACCTGATAAGGAAATAAGATCATTGTTGAGTCGATGTAACTAGTTCAGGTAAGGTGAGATTATACTGAAGTCGGTTGGGCCCCCCTAGACCAAAATAACTGTCTTTGTAGAAAAGGGAAATCTGGGGACAGACATGCACACGGGGGAAAGGGAGAGCACCGTGTGACTGTCGTAAGTATGCTGCCAAGAGTCAAGAG